TTATTCCTGCTGCCTACAATTACCCACAACCATATATTTTTAAATATTTCCAGCCTATAAAAATTACTAATTTTTGCCACTTGTGTTTATCTGCATTTAGACTTTGATTTGGATAAATTAAGCTCTCAAGTGTTCCTTGCTTTATGAAACTCTGCATGTTGTACACTTCAACACAAATAAATGACTTGTACCATTAGAGGTTTAAATAATGTAATGTATTTCATGCTCAGCCTGAAGCTGGATTCCAATGAAGTTGCTAATGCACGTAATGATTAAGTGTAACTCAAATACTAACTGTGTTGTTGAAAACATGACAGGCAATAATTTGGTCTATTATATTCTGCCATTTAATTGCCTAGTACAGACATTCTCTGACACGTTATGAAGCAATGATTTACAATTATTCAAGCTGCAAAGGTCAGAAAGTGACATTATAATCATCTACATAGAGATCCCTTCTAATGCACAAAACTAGGTAATGCCACACATGCAAAAAAAAAAAAAAAAAAAAAAAAAAAAAAAAAAACAAAAAATCCAAAGAGTTTTACTGCATTAGTAAGTTTCTGTTTTAGGTTACTTACGCCAGCTTATAATAAACAGTTCGTAAGTAAATTAATACACAATAGAAAATGTCTAGAATCTTCTCATTAACGAAGAGGTGACAGATTTAGAAAATGCTCTTATCCTCTCCTGATTAGGTAATTCTACTCAACTACTTAACTCTATACACAAGATTCAAGATTAGACATGAGAAAATCAATCAAAAAATACCATAATCCATAAATCATGCATACCAGAGTTTTGTGAATTATGGCCTACAAAGTTAGGTATATTTCCTAGGTTTACTAACTAGGTTTTCTACTAACTCTTTTTTGTTTGGTAACCAGTAATGGAAAAACAACTCAGGTTGATCAATTTTATCCCTCTCATCCTAATGAAAAGATAATAAAATCTTCACTTTTTTAGGCACTTTTCTCTATTATACCAACATGTTTAACTTTTACCCACTCAAGTAGAATAAATTATCAATACATAAAAAACTAGGAAAAGTAAAAAATTTTAAAACTGCTATTTAATATGAGAAAAGTGAAATAGAAAGATATAAAAAAGAAACTGAATAACAGATTATTAAAGTAAAACAGTGTATAAGCAATTTTTTTTAAAAGAACATAAATCTGAGCAAAAGCAGGAAACAAGAGTGGTTGGGGGCTGAAAGGAAATAAGTTGCAGCCATTACATGCTAGTGAAAACAACCCAGAGAGAAAAAATAGTACAAATAGAAGATAGTAACCAAAACAACCAATATTACAAAAAGAAGAGAATTAAGGAAAAGGGACAGTTAAAGGAAGAAAATAGTGGTCTACCATTACTACTCCATAACTTTAGTCCATTACTAAAAATACTGTTAATCTCAAGTTTATTATCTGTAAGTGGAGATAATAAACAGGAGATAAACAATCTCATGAAACTATAGAGATCAACAAATAAATATTACTTAAGGAATCCACTAAACCACAGCACTGCATAAATACTATTTATTAGAGTATTATAGATACTATTATATGTACACACAGAGACATTATTAAATAAATTTAAATACATTTAAGAAAACACGGTATCTATAACGATTTTTTTGAGCCACTGAGATTTTCAAGTTCTTGACTACTAAAAATAAACAAAGTTAAAGATCAGGGATTTAGTAAAAATATGTGTTTAACCTGTTTTTAAACATATGTCCCACAAAAAATTTTAACTTACATATAGGAATGCTTTCCATTATTTGCTATTTTCTCCCCCACTAAACTCCTCTATCAGACCCATAGCCATTTCCATATTAACTATCCATCAAGTATATATAGATACATCTGTATTTTATAAAAGTCCTCAAGTTCACACTCAGATGTAAGAAACACATTAAGCTGTATTATTAAAAAACTGTTTCTCCTAAAAGTGAAAGTAAAATAAAAGGCTTGTAAATGAAGTTATCTATAACATGTTCTTAAAACAGGAGTTCAAAGCAATACATTTTTAATTTTTTACCGTGCTATTGAGCATGTAAACCACATGAGTAAACAAAACTTAAATCCCGAGCTCTGAATCCAGCTAGCCAGTAGCAATTAGACAGCAAAGACATTCAGTTTCTCTTTTAAACTAACTTAAATCCATGACAGATTGTAGCTAAGATTTGCTAAGAAGGAACAAGAGATTATCTTAAAATTCAGCTTAACAATTCAAAGAAAATCAGTGTAGATTTTTAAAAATGAAAGTTTAAAAGGCAGCTTTTGTTAAGAGAGAAGCTAACACTCAATCTTAAACTAAGCCTCAGGGAAAAAAATATCAGCTATATATTTGATGAACATCTTCAATGTTCAAATAAAAGACATAAAGATATGATAAAGAACTCAATCACAAATAATCTGAAACATTAATTCTGAGGTCGATAGAGTCAACAAAATACACTATTATTTCCATAAATTTCACCATAAAATACTAGGTTTTGTTTTGTGTGGGGGTTTTTTCCAAAAAAAACCCAACAGATTAATAAAAATAAAAAATAAAAAAATATTGCCTGCCCCACTATTCCTACATAATATCATGCAAATAAAATTACTTGAAAACATTTTTTCTTTCAACTAAAATAATGAAGAGGTTATTACAATAATAAAGTTATAAAAGATATACACTAAGACACTAATTATCTCAGAAAAGAAAACACAGTGCAGGACCTTCTGTTTGTGACAAAATTATACAGTTAATGTTCCTGAAAGATCACTTCACATTTTAAAGTATTTTTTAAAGTAAAATTTATAGCAATTAAAGCTAATGAAGAAATGCAGCATGAGTTGCTTATGTTCAGGAACTAATAGGTCCACGGAGCTGCTCTAAGATTATTTAACCATCAATAATAATGAATTGACATTGTCAGTGATGTTAATGTACCAATGCTCTCTACTGCCACTAATCTAGTAGCCAACTCTTACATTTTTCTTAATGTTTTCCAATTTAATGTTTAACTTACATACTGCCCTATCCCTTTGAAACACGTGAACAACTTATGATACACTTTTAATATTGAAGGGTATTTAACTCACTATTGTTTTACTTTAAAAACATTGATCAATAGGCATTTCTTAGTTTACTGCAATTCTTCAGAATGATTAGCTGCATTGTGAAAATATCTATACTGTGATACTATTAAGTAACTTTTAAATCAAATTTCATTTCTAAAAAAAATAAGAGATCTATCATTTCATGGTCAAATACAATTCAATGACTACCATAATTCTAAGAGATACAATTTTGGAATCTAGATAGTTTTTTCTACACACACATAGACATAGAACTCTCTGATAGCAGTATAAAGCTCAATATATTTACATGCATTTTCAATTCTTTATCTTGGGCATCAAATCTATAAATCACTAGTGCAACATTTCAGTTATATGTGGTAAGCATTGAGCTAAGCAAAGTGTGCATTCTTCAAATTATATAAGCAAAGCCAATCAATCATGTATCATTTTTGATGCTACATGTGTTAAAAACTGTTCTCTAAAAAAGTTTCTTCATCCTTTTCCAAAGTCTTAGTAACCCTAATAAAAATGAATAGAATTAGATTTCTAATAACAGTAGTATGCAAAAATTGTCTGTTTTGTGGAAATGAGGAAGACACTGTTTATGGTCATCTGACAGCAAAATTTCGTTGGAAGTCAGGGCCTTCCTCTTTCCTATCATTCATATGGTAAAAATAATAAATGAGATATCTTTTTTAATTTCAAGACCTAGAGCAATTAAAATGAACCATTTGGCACTCGACCCTTGCAGCTAAAATCAGTAGCAACAAAACTCATTCTGCACCGATCTTCAGGGGGCTTTAGGGCAAAGGTTCGTCTTCATTTACTTTAGCTGCAAGTCACTGAACCATCAATTCTGTCCATGAATAAATCACAGATCATGGTTAATAAAAGTGCTTGCAAAGTCACTTTTAAAATTATCTTAAGGGTCAAAAAATGCAATGGCATCTTGGGATGAAGTATAGTATCTAACAAAAACCAGGTACTTATGACTTAAAAGTAATTTATATTTATACAATAGTGCCAAACCAGGAGAATTTTCAAATAAAAAAATAACCCTAATATAACATGAGCACATTGCATAATTTAATTGAACCTAAATTATTTTGTGAATTAGATATAAGAAGGTTTCTCAGGTTTCACATACAAAGTGTTTTTATGTGATGCACTTATTAGTTCATTTCTCTGGCATAATAACATTAAAATATATCCTTAATCAAAAGTAGGGTATTAAAATCCAGCTCTGAATGTCTATGACATACTATAGACACCATGGCATTTTAAAACTTTTTATAGCATCTCAGTACTTCCTATTAATGTAACACATTTGAATGACAACTAAAGATTGTGAATGATTCTTCAGAGGAAAAACCCATTAACTGAAAAAGGAAAACAAGTTTTGAAATAAAGTTACATAAAAATATACATTATACACTTTTTTAAAGGCTCATCCCAGCAATAATAGTAACCAGTTGTCCAAAATTAAGTCTTTTTCTGTTTTTTTTTTCCTTACAGAATATGTCCAATGGATCCAAAGAGCCATTAATGTGATTAAAATTAAATCAGCAAAGCAAAAGTAAAAAAACATACGTATACACTCCTTAAGCTATATTGTGTATTTTTTATGTCTTTAAATGGAATTTTCAGTTCTCTCTGGCAACGTGAATGAACATCCTATAATTTAGTCAATTTACAGATTACAGGTTCAAATTGACCTTGTAGCCCATAAAATTGCTCATCTTCAGTACAGGATTAGAAGTGAAGAAGAATGTCATAACTGTATTTAAGGAATTTATCATAACAATGGGAAGGGGGCTATGAATGCATAATTTTAGCCCCTCTTACTCATATCAGTTCTGAATTCTGAAACAATGAAATCCTGCATAAGCTTCCTGGTTCACACAGTGGAAACAGTTTCAATTTACTCACCCACACACATGACACTTGTATTCCCTCATCCCAAGGTGCCTTTTGACATGGTTTCTGGCATCGCCAAGCTGAGCTGTTGCAAAATGGCAGATCTTGCACTTGAATGGTTTTGATCCTAAGTAAATTTAACATAAAATATTATTTTAATTTGAATAATACTGTACTGATACTTTAAAAAGAGGCTTAGATCTTAAATCATACTTTTAATCTAATTACAAATTTCTGTCCCTAAAATGGAGCACTTGCATTCCTTTCTAACTTGAAATGACCTGCATTCCATAATTATTCCACCAAGGAGACTTGAATGCTTCAGTGAGTGTCCCTAACTTTGAATAATATTTCTAAGATTTAAAATCAAAAGTGGCCCAGGTGACTAGTATTAAGTAGACGAAATGAGATAAATAATTTTAAATATTTTCCTTACAATTCACAAAAGTATCTTTCACAGTCACTCCACATTTAAAATGTGACATTTTAAAAGCATAAATGCAAATAGAGTAGCTGATATTTTCAAGTATATGTGTCATCAAGTAAATAAACTTCTGCAGCTTTGACTTTATTCACATTAATAATGGTATTTTAGATATTTTTTACATTATTCCCTAAGAGTCACTATATCATTATTATAACAGCATAGAATTTAAGAATACGCAATGGATAAATTATTTGCTTTATGGTCACTTTGTAGTCAAAAATCTGTACTGATTCTGAAAACTAAAAGAACTGACATGTTAGTTATTATTAATTTCAAGAGCAAATATTTGAACATAAAAACATTGTACCAAATTTTTTTTATTTTAATCTATATTCAATGAGAAAACAAAACTAATAGTCAACAAACTTAGTGTCAGTAGCAGACTTTACCCAATATATAATAGTTACTGATAATCAGTATCCACATTAATAAGAAGCTACACTTTTTAAGTTGCAATATACACACACACACACACACACACACACACACACACACACCATTTTCTGATTTTCTAGCCACTAAATCTTCAAATAAATGAAAATCACGGAAATCACTGCTTAAAGTCAGGACAATGTGTTTCCAGATTTTTCAGATCATGTTTAATCCCTATTTGGTGAAACACCTCTTCTAACATGATCAGACAGAATATAAAATATGTAAACTTGAATAAATATACAAAAAGGCTCAAGCAAAAAAAATGCAATAAATCAAATTTGATCAATGAACCTTTGTGCAGTGCCCTTGGAAAAAAAATCCTCCAAGAATACTTTGTTGAAACTGAAGCACTCAGTAAAAAAATTTAAAGTCTTAAATTTCAATTTAATTCCCAAAAGCTGACAAAAAAAGTGAAGCATTTAATTTTAATCTAACAGAAATAAAAAACTCAACAGTAGTACTAGCACAGGCAGACAAGGTTGAATATTTCACAGTTCAATGACAATGAAGCCAGATCTCTCAATACTTCCATTTCTGCCGTTAGAAGTAGATGTAAAATATATTTAGCACCTGAATGGTTATATCTAGTCAGCTTTATGTGTAAATGTCAAAAGCAGGTTGAGACTGCAGCTTACAGCAATCACATTATATCAATCACATTAGAAACTACAGTTTATTTAAATGATTCTGATAAAACTAAGCCTATGACCACTATGAAACACTTCATCTCAACAGAAAACTCTATTAAAGGGACTTATAAAAGACATAAGTGAGAAGAACCAATTTACCTGTACTTTGGATTAAAATGCATTCAAGATAATAGGTAATTATGAAATTATTAATTTAACAATAACACCAGGACTTCAAACAAAGAAGATAAAGCTCCCTCAACATTTGTATCACAATATAGTGAAAGGATTTAAAACATCTATCTTGTGGATTTAAGCTTTAGTCTTGCTCATCCTGCACTGACATTGTTATGAGCTCCTTCTCCCTGTGCAAACACATGTGCCACAAAGGTCCAGATACAGACCTCAGTGCTTTCAGTGGATTGTACCTGGCTCCCCTGTGAGACACTCTAGCGCCTTCAGGTCTCAGTGATTACTGCCAGTGTGCTGACAACACATGAATGAGTTGACAGCTTTCATGTAGAAATCATGAAGGCTCTGAGTATTTTTCATATCTTATATCCCAAATAGACTGTGTTAACATCTTTCTGTGCCATAAAAATCCAAACGTTAGGGAACCAGAGGTACTATTTTCCTTAACATCAGCCATTGCTGACTATTATGCAAACATGAATGTGACATTAAAATTAAAAATTTAATAAAACTTTAGGTCTTAAAGAATCAGGTCAAGACGTATATACCCAGCATCTAATGCCTGTCAACTCTAGCCTAAATGCTACATTCTTCACTACACATTGGCACTTCATTCACAAAACTGTCCATCCGCTTATTCACCTCTCCAACAGTAATGTTGGGAGCCAGCTATGTGCAGGACACAGAGATGAAGCAGTGAACAGAATCACACCCATGCTCTCACTCTGCTTACTTCCTATAGACCAACTCTCCTGAACCGTCTCTTCTTAAGCCAACTCAACCTCTAAAAACCATCACATAATTAGTTACAGACACCACCAGCCCTGGCTTGGGAATTTTTCAGTAAAGTCATACAACTCTCTGGTTCCCCACATGTGAACACTTCTGGACAGTATGAGTGACCAGTGCACTCAAACATAAAATGAAGGCTTGCAGACAGTCTTCTAGCTTAAAAACACCTTCCCTGCTATAGGAAATCAAAGCTCTAACAGAATGATACAGGAGAAAAGAGGACCGGGGTTTTGTACCACTCATATAATGGGAAAGGAGTCCCTGCTCTTTCTGCTCATGCAGTGGCTTCAGACAGCAAGCACCCTGGAAGCTCTGTGACGCCTTTTTCCTACAATTCTGGATGACCAACTCATTTATTTCTTATAGTGCTGCTTTCATCATACTGAGGATAGGAAGAAAAGGTTACATAAAACATATAGTAAATCACAAAGTATAAAAACAAGGATTGGAAGAGTAAGCCCTTTTCCAGTTAACCATTAATAACAGTCCCTGCATTACTATTTCATGGACATAAGCAACAGATCAGAAAAGCAATTCATTCTAAGAGGCGCCAAGAAAAAAACTTGGGAGTGAAAACCTGGAGAGCAACTTCTCCAAAAAATGCCTTGCAAGTCTGAAATGGCAGATGGGCCTTGGGTCCTCAGGATCTCGCCTTTGTAGTGCTTTAGAACACAACAAAAATGTGCTTGCTGATAAGCCCAACACAAAATGTTAAAAAGTATGCTAACTTTTACTAAATGTTACAATCAATGATGTAACTTATATAAGTAGGGTTACTTTGTCACATATTGATAGTTACCTCACTTTCACATCCACATTAACTTGATTTTAAATGCAATTAATACATATAGTCAAGGAAGACTAATGGACTACATTCTGCACTTAACCTGGTGGACATTTTCAAATGGCACAAGTGACCAGTGCAAACCTATTTTGCATTGTAAACGACTAAATAAATCTTAATGGATTAAGAATGATCAGCTATCAACACACAAGGGAAATTAAGTGCTGAAATGCCTACATTGATTATTTTAAATTATTAGCCTTACTCTGTTCTTGAATTTGTATGCTTTTAGTGAGCTTTAACACATTTACAAGACTTATTGACTATAATTACAAGAGAATTCAAGTAATGGACACATCAATTATAAGCAACATGTCTTGACCAGACAGTTGCATAAAGAATTCTAAAAAGAGCTCCATTAGCATCTTCCTCTTAGTTTTATTCAGTTTTATCTGCCTTAAGAGGGCATATTAAGAAAGTACATCTTTTCTGTGAATGTGAACAAGCCTAATTTCTAAAACTGTATCATTTCAGAAAGTAAACTGTAATACAGCATGCAAAGTTATTAATAACTCCAACAAACCACCATCACAACTCCGCTGCACTGGGAATAGTTGGAATCAAGAGTACAATGCTGATATTCACCTAGATCGACCTTATGCAGATTTCCCTGCTACTTTCTCCAATGAAAAACTTTTAACTATGTTTAATCACTCTAAACTATTAATAATGTTTCATATTCTTTTGTCTTTCTCCTGTGATGATGCAAAAATTTTCCAAAACTGCATGAATTTAAAGTATAGCTTTAATAATAAGCCATTATTTTAAAGTACAGTAAAATAAACCTTACAGTTCTAATGAAAATATGTTCATTAAAATGTGAATTTATTATTCAAATCCACTCATAAATTCAACCATGGAGACAGAACTTGTCTAAGCAGAGCACAATGATTTAGAAAAGCTGTCTATTTAAAATAAAGAATGTATGGCAGGTTTATAGAAACAGTGCAGTGAATTTTTACATAAATTTAGAACACTGGCTTATACATTTTTCAGGGGGGAAAAAAGTTTTTAAAAAATATCTACCTAAAATGAACCACAAAGCAGAGCAGAGACTCACCAGGTTCTTCCAGGGCCTGTATCAATGAACACAAATCCCCGAACATAGTGACTTTGAAAACTGTTGACTGTTTCTGATCTTTGAAAGTAGAATTTTGTTGCCTGGGAGTTATACTTTTGGATATAAACTACCTGATATAAACTACCTGGCAATGAATATTTTTAAATCTGTAAAATTGTATGAAAATTTTTATTATCTCATTCCTCAAATGCCATTTAATATATTATCTGAAACAGCAGTTGCCAACCAGTGGTCCACAGACCCCTGATGGTCCATGAAGTACGAAAGGTTGGCAACTGCTGCTCTGAAACCCAGTGCCACTTAATAGATACCTTAAAAAACCAAACAGTTTGGACCTAAAACATGTGAAAAGCTCTATGAGACAGGAATTTAACAAAAGCACGAGAGGCACTAAGCTTTTTGATAAAATTGAAAGGAATTTGTTAAAGAGCCTGCCTTTGAGATCAATGAGGCCTACAGGTCTTCATAGATGTTAAGTGTCAGCGATGACAGTGGCTAGTTGTCCCGAGCACCACCCAGCAGTCATGTGAACCAAGTGAGAGCTAGCAGCAACTGAAGCAGGGACTGCATATTGGGTGGGAGGGAATGTCCAGATTTTACCACTCAAGGGCATGTTATAGAGAAGCACAAGTGCCACGGTTCACATACCTGTATGAGTGCGGATGTGGGCCAGGAACGCCATAGAATTGCTACTGCGACACATCTTGCCACAATACTTGCAGACATTTCCCTGATTCTCCTCTCGCTCTCGGTTGATTTGCTCAGTGTCTTCCACTATGTACTTATTCACCTCCCGGAGCAGTTCCTCATGCTGCCCTTTAATATGCAGAAATAAATTTTGCTCCGAATCAAAGGGCTCTGTACATTTGACACATTTAAAGGTGGCCCCGCCCTCCGGGAGCTCTTCCACGCTGGCCTGTTCATTTCTCATGTGGCCAGCACTAGCCAAGTGCTGATGCAGGTTGCTCTCTGTGTAGAAGGACTTGCCGCACAGCAAACAATGGAAGTGTTTCTCCTTTGTAGGATGCTTCATGGCTATGTGAACATTCAGTCCACTTAACCCATCTGCTAAGAAACCACAGTCATCACAACGGATTCGTGTGGATTCACCAAAGGAGCTGCCTTCAGATTTCTTCTTTTTCACTCCTTGAGCACAGTCTTTTAAGGGGGACTCACTCATTCTCACTTCTGTTGTTATCAGACCCTCTTCACACTGGTCTATCAATTCACCATCTTCTGAGTTCCTTATTCTTATTATGGAAGAATCAAACCGGCCAAAACTGTACATGGCCTGTCCTTTATCATCAACATTAATTATAGTTTCATAAACATCATTACTTTCAACCGTGCTATCAGAAGCTGGACCATCCTCTTCTATAACAATTTCAGTTTCTTGTTGGGAATTCATCAGAATTTCCTTATTTTCCAAGATAGAATCTCCTTGCATAGTTTTCAAATCCACTGAACTCTGCATATTTCCAACTTGGTCTTGACCACGGCTATCCAGGTTTAGCTGTCCTTCCATCATTCTCATCACAACAGGGACGGTGCTTTCAACTGAATGAGCTCCATCCAGGACTCCAAGACATCCATGTTTACTGAGGATTTCACCTTCATGGTCTCCTCCATTCCCTCCATCACTATCACCATGTGCAGTTGGATCACCAATGTCATTCAACTTATTGTGATTGGTCTTTGTTGTCTCATAAATTAAAGCTGAGCTTCCCGAATTTTCATTCTGAAATTTGCTTGGTGAGCCATTAGAGGAAATGTTAAGGGTCACCTCTTCCTCGAGTCTCCTAACTTTGTCCTTGGCAAGGGGTTGTTGCAAAGTTTCACAAAACGGAGGACCTTCACTAAGATTAGAGTCTTCTTCAGTCTCAACTTCTATAGAGTCAGGAACACAGAGTACTTTAGACATGTCTAAGTTAGTATTCTCATCTAAAACAGAATGGCCAGTAGCATTTCTAGATTTAAGAGTTTCAGGTGATTGGCCTGAAATTATCTGGAATTCTTCAGAATTTTGTTGATGCTGCTCCTCAGGTATGATGATGTTTTTGGACATTTCTGAAGGACTTGCTCCCACGTCAGAAGAATTCAGGTGAGACTGCCTTTTCACCTTGTGCTTTTCTGTTGCTGCATGCCTGGTCATCTCTCTATGAGTCACGGCATAGTAATCACATGCCATGCAATAAAACGCAAATTCTTTTGTGTGTTTCCGTTTTACATGCAATTCTAGGGAAGCTGAAGAGTGAGCACTAAACTCACAGTGTGCACATTTATTGTCACTTGTGCTCAGGGCACCTCTCTGCGAGCATACTTCCCTTTGCTGCACCAGGGCCTCTGGTTCTAGAGTTACTTGTTCCTTCTCATCAATAGCGTGACTGCCAGCTTCCCCATCTGTAGAATGAAATACATTTTCAACTTCAATTTCAACTTGATCTCTTTGCTCTTGTCCTGTTTTTTCTGAACTGGAGGGATCTGGTTCAGCTGACTTATTAGTTTGTTCATCTGAACTGGTGCTCCTACTACAGGCTTCAAGGTTACCTCTTTCAGGGCCAATAATGATATCTGAACTTTGTTTTCCATTTGCTTCTATTTCTACACGTCCTTTATGTTTCTTGGTGGCACAATGACGCTCCATATCTCCCTTAGTTACAGTATAATACTTACACACTTTACATAAGTAACTGTATTGGTGACTATGTTTTCGTCTAATGTGAACGGTCAGATTTGTAATACTAGAGGCCAAGAGGCCACAGTGTGAACATGTCCGTGAGATGTTACCTTTGGGTCTCCCTCTCTTTGGAGTGGTGGTCAAGGCTAACTCATCATCTTTGGCGATTACGCCAGACTGTGGCTGTTCCTTGGCAGTGAGTATGCTCTTCTCCAAAGAGTTATGTTCCTGCAATTGCTCACCTTCTATGTCGCCTTCTGTCCTCTCGTTTGCAGAAATCGTAACGTCTTCTTTCTTGTCATTTGCACCTATACAAACCCTTTCAATACATTCTTCAAAGCTTAAGCCAATATTATTTTTCCTAGCATTTTCAAGATGTTTGCTTCTCTTAATGTGTTTCTCCATTCCTTCTTTGCTCAATGAATAGAGATTACATGCTTTACAAAGAAAGTGGTAGTCCTGACCATGCCGGAGCTTTATGTGTCGTGTGAGAACAGTGGAGGACCGTGTTTTATAAAAGCACTTCTTACACTGAAATTGAGGCTTATTTGAATGCCTTACTTCACTTCCATAGCTTACCCGGGTCTTAGTTAGTTCTTCCTGAGCCACTCTTCCTAACTGGCTCATAGAATCCTTTGTGTTTTCTGATTCCAAAGTCCTTAAAGGTAAAGTCTGTAAAACCAAATCATTGTTAAACGATTGAGAAGTCTTTGGTTGAACCAATAAGCGAATATGCTTCTCAGTTGTCTTGTGTTCCTCCATTTCCTTCTCAGACAAGAAGAACAGATTACAGGGAGAACAGAGAAAGCCCATACTGTGCTTTTCCTTCATGTGGTCTCTAAGATGTGTTTCATTCAAGGAAATAAATGAGCAGCACTGACAATTGAGGACAGAGGCAGTTTGCTGAAGCTGGTGATTGTGCAAATGTTCATGTTGGTCCCTCCTAGACATGCTGGAAACGTCACATGTCTGGCAGAACAATTTTACATCTCTTGCATGGCACCTTTTCATGTGGACTTCCAACTCTGTCCTACTTGTAGACACCTGGCCACAGTCTGTACAAGAACATGACATCTGACGGTCAGAAGCTGCCCTCACTGTGGAAGGATCAAAGTAGCTCACATGGTGGGCATTTCTTTCATCCTGCTTCAGGTCCAGGGTTTCTGAGGAAGACACACACAGACTGTGGGTACTGCCACCCATTTCTATGTGTTTAGGCATGGACTCTGAATCACCTGTTTTCATCTGTGCTCTAACGTGTTTCATATACATCCTGGGAGTTTCACTAGTGCCCCGTTTATTAATTCCTAAAAGATTAAACCTTTTCTTGGCTTGGCTTTTTAAGGGGAAAGTGCCACTTCGTCGTCGGAAGCTATTAGCCAACATGAGAATGTTTCTCTCAGGTCTCGGTCTCGAGGTTGAGCTGATACCATGTGCTGTCTGTAGAGTCTTTTTGGTAGATTCCAATTTATCTAAGAGACCCTGTGAGCCTACTAATGCTCCTAACTTTTTACTCTGGTTTTCAGGGTTTCGAGTTGTACCAAAGGAAGGGACATTTTCTTCAACAATCTCTCCCTTTTCTAGCACAGTACTCCTGGACGGCCTCATTTCAACAAGAAGTTCGCTGCTACTTCCACTCTGCTTAGAAATGCTGCCTCTGAAATCTTTAAATTTGCTTTCACCATGTCTTAGTCCTTTTGAATCACTATTCTTTGCTATTTGTTTAGATGCTCTTGGTTTTATGCGAACACTCTTTGTTCCGATGGTACATGACTTCTTAGGAAAAGGCTGTTTTGTTAAGATCTGCACAAATCCTCCACGAGCAGCAAGATTCTGGCGCCGGAGATGTGTTTTTCCAAGACAATGTGCATTCAAAAGGTTCTCTTCCACACACTGAAAACCACAAAGGTCACAAGAAAAGACGGTCCGTGACCCATGTGTCTGTGTGGCATGGGTCTGCAATGCTGGGCTGCTCTCTGCTCCGTGGCTGCAGGGACAGTGGGCAGACTCCTTAGATGGCGGCTCGTGACATTCAGCATGCTTCTCCAAGTCCGAGCAAGAAGAAAACAAATGGTCACACATGTTGCACCTGAAAGCTGAATCAATGTTCCCGATGGTACAACCAACACTAACAACCTCTTTGCTGGAGAAAGATTTTGTTTCTGGGTCAAGGGAAACCATTTCCTGAGCAATCATCTTCTCAGTGTCTGTTTTCAGAGAAACAGTGTCAGTTGGGCCAGAACTGCAGAGAAGGGAAAACGAGGTGGGAGGACAAGTATCTCCTTCTGAGCAGTCATTCAGGAAGGACGCCTTCACCATTTCACCAGACGGGACCTCCACTTCAGATAACCCGCAAACACCCTGCTCTTCGGACCTACAGGGCTCAGCTTCACTGAATTTCATTCGTTTGGAAGCATGTTTATTTCCATCTTCCGCCACAAAAACACCGGATGATGACTCCGAAAGAGCTCTTTTGCTAGCAGAATTCTCAGAGGAATTCACTACCAAATCAGACAAGGGCCTACACTCCACATCCTGAGATGAAACAATCCTTGAATCTTCTGCTTCCTTTTTTACATCTTCGTCCTCATCATTCTCTGGTTTCTTCTCAGTACCCATCATTACTATCGTGCCGACACTGCTCCTCTGTCAAGGTAGCTTACTTGGCACTCATAATCTATGAAGAAAACAAGCATGGTATTAAACCTTTGAACAGACAGGTATATTAATCCAAAAATCAACATAACGTGACATAGTGGATGAAAAATATTATAAAGTTAGCCTCAATAATATTTCCTTCATATTGAGATTAATTTGATCACATGACCCTTAATGAAAAGTATGAATTGTATTTTGGGAACACAATATTACCACACTATACTATCTTCCACAGAAAAGGGGATTTTCTCAACCAGCTTGCAAAAAATCTCCCAAGTTTCAACTCTCTTTATCACTACATTTCAATTTACTAATTCTTTTTTCTAAATAAAGAAGCCTTCTTTTCAAATTCTGTTTCAGTGGACTCCTGCAGATTAAAACAAAACTGCTGCCCAGGAGGTATGGCTCTGTGGTTAAGCATTGACCTATAAACCAGAAAGTCAGGGTACATGCCTGAGATGCAGACTCAATCCCCAGTTGGGGGCATGTAGGAGGCAACCGACCAATAATTCTCTCTCATCATTGAGTTTCTGTCCCTCTGTCCCTCTCCCTTCTTCTCTCTGAAATCAATAAAAACTCTTTTTTTAAAGCTATACAAATGGCCAAAAAGCACAGGTAAACATAATCTATGTCAGCAGTTGCTAGAGGAATGAAAATAAAGCCATAAAGTAGCACCACTTCACACCTACTAGGATGGCTAAAATCAAAAAGTCAGGCAATAACATATGCTGGTGAGAATGTAGAGCACATGTGTCAAACACAAGGCCCGCGGGCCAAATCCGTCCCGCCAGGCCTTGCAATGTGGCTCGCACCGCGCTGTCATCACTGCACTCCGCTGCGTTTCCATCACAATGACAGTTTATGACTGTTCAGTAAACCATTCGGCCCGCGATTTAGGCTGGATTTTAGATTTTGGCCCCTTCTCTGATTGAGTTCGACACCCCTAATGTAGAGAAACCAGAACCCTCATATAATGCCAGCTGGGATGTAAAATGATGCTGCGGCTTTGGAAAATAGTCTGGCAAGACCTCAAATCACTAAACGTGGAGTTACCATAGAGCCCATCGATTTCACTCCTAGGTATATGCCCAAGAGAAATGAAAACATATAGCCCCACACAAAAACTTGTATACAAATGTTTTTAGTAGTAAAACAAGCAGGAAGTGGAAACAACCCAAATATTCACCAATGAATAACTAAATGTGGTACAGCCATACAATGAAATATTATTGTCACACACAAAAAAAAATGAAGTAGTGATTGATGCCACAGGATGAGCATTGAAATCATTATGCTAAGTAAAAGAAGCCAGTCACAAATGACCACATATTTATATGATTCTTTTGATAGAAAATATCCAGAATAGGCAAATCTATAGAGACAGAGAGTAGATTACTAGTTCCTAGGGAAATAACGGGATATAGATAAAGGATATACCTATTTTTTGAGATGATGAAAATGTAAAATTTACTGTGGTGATGGCTGCACATATCTGTGAATATACTTAAATCCATTAAGCCATAGCTTAAATGAGTGGATTGCATGATATGTGAATGTCTCAATAAAGCTACTTTAAAAAATATATAATTTGTTGTATATAATCTACAATACAAAATCTCTTGTATTTGTAACTGTATCATAATATAGTGACATGTTGTATATTTCTTGAGTGAAAAAAATATATGTACATGGTTTTATTTCACTTACATATATTCATTATTTCTTCAGACTGTGTTCCAGAAATATTAAATATGTCTCTGGTCAAATAAGTTTAGAAAACTCTGGCTTGAACAAAATTCCTTTACATAGGATTTCTCAGTACATAAGTATTTCTCAAACTAATTCTACCACAGAACTCTTTGTTTATCAAGAGTCTAGAGACTGGTGTTTCAAAGAACCTTTTAGAAAATGCTCTTTTAGCCTGGCCTGTGTGTTTCAGTTGGTTGGTCATCATCTGTCCACCAAAAGGTTGCTGGTTCCATTCCTAGTCAAGGTACACATCCAGGTTACAGGCTCAATCCCTGGTATAGGGTGTGCAGGAGACAAGCCAATCGATGTTTCCCTCTCATAGCGATGTTTCTCTCTCTCCCTTCCTAGCTCTCTAAAAATCAATTTTAAAAATGCTCTTTTAGATACAGCATTAGTTTTCTTATTCAACATTTGTTATAGGAGAGTAAAAGAAGGCAAGAGAGAATGAATTAATCACATATATATTCCAAAAATTTCACCTAGTGTCTACTACATGGCAAGTGTTCTTGTTCTAAATTCTGGAATTACAGCAAAGAACAGCATGAAATATCTGCCTTACAATATAAGGATAAGACAATATATTATTTTTAAATACATATATTCTCCATCCAGGACACTCCCTTATGGTCAAGAAAAGTCACAGAGACTGAAGGTACTCTCATGCATGAAATAACTGGAAACACACACACACACACACACACACACAAAAAAAAAAAAAAAATCTATGAAACAACAGAAAACATTGGACATTGGGCACCAAAGGGCAGTGATCTCTGAGAGCTGACAGCTAAACCAAGTGAGTCCCAGCTTACTACCTGGAGCAAGGACCCAGGCCACAGCACAGCGAGGAATCTCCCAACAGAGTTGAGGGGCAGCTAGAGTCTGTAGGGCAGATTAAAAGAAAGGAGAGGTGCCAGAAAGAGAAGCTCAGAGGTCTACAGAAGTCCCATAGACAGAGAACACTGGCATCTTCCCCAAAAAAACCTATTTTATGCCACCTCACGCTAAGTCCTTGGTAACTCCCTTCCTGAGACAACCACTGTTCCAAATTCTTCCATAGCAGATTCATTTTGCCTGTTCCAAAGTTCATGTAAATGCATTCAGACAATATGCCTTTTGAAGGAGGAGGATCTGGCTTCTCCTACTCAGCACAATATTTTTGTTGTACATATCGGCAAAGTGCACGACATGGATATATCATGATTTTGTTAACAGACACCTGAGCTGCTTCTCCTTTTTTAGCTCTTATGGTAAAGCTGATATGAATAATCCTGTACAAGTCTTTTTATGACTATCATATCATCTCTTTTGTGTAAATATCAAGGGGTGGTACTGCTGAGTCACAGGATGAAAGGACAGGATTAGCCATAGGAAGCATCAGTTGACTGATTTGCAAAGTGGCCACACTGTTTTACATAGCCACCAGTAATGCCAAGAATTCTGAGAGACCCACGTCCTCGCCCACATCTGACACTGTATCGGTCCTTAAAAGTTAGTCATTCCTTTCTGCAATTCCCTGATATCTGAGGGTGGTGCCAAATACTTTGTTTTGTGCTTTGTGAAACACTTGTTAGCCTTTTGCCCATAATTTGGCTGTTTGTTTATTATTAAGCTGGAACTGTTGCTTATGTATTCTGGGCATAAATCATAGGAAACCTGCTAGCGGTTCACAACCTGTGGGAACAGTTTAGGGGCTAATTTTTCTGAAGATATATTTCATTCATTCACTCAACAAATATTCAAGTCTCCACTGTTCCTTAAAGGCCCTTTATTTCTCTCGGGAACAACTGCAACCCTCAGAGTACAGAGTATAGAAGGTGTCCTCTGAAACCACTGGTACTAATACCCAGTGGAGAAAGAAAATGAGTCTCAGATTTCTACCCACAGTAAGGTTTCAACATTCAGACACGCTGGTAAGTATTTACACTAGAATAATGAGATGTGTTAAGAAGCCAAATCTTCTTAAAGCATACCAGTATGCTTCCTGTACAAATTCACCAGTTACCACTTACTCATATCCTCACCATCCCCAACCATTTTCAAATATGTAGGCCCATTTATAGTGTCCACCTTACCAAATTCTCAACTAGCTGTGCCCTAAGAAATAAGTTACATGTCACTTCATCATCTTCTATTTTATCTATAAAGTATTAACTCACCAAAAATCTATCACGAAGTAAAGTTCCCGCTGTAACTAAAATAGCCTCTTCTATTGTTTTAAAAGGGGGGGAAAAGTAGCCAAAAAAAAAAATCAAAACACATACTTTTTAACAACAATAAAACAAATCACTAGCAGCCTTCTGATGACACCTACTGGCCACTTCTCATGGCAAGTTTCCTGCAGCATTTTAATGGATTTTAGGAACTATTAGAGAAACCTAACAATTATTCAACCATTTCACATGCTATCATTAATACTGGGCAGCAGGCATGAAAATTTTCATTCATTTACCTCATTTTTTCCCCACTTTTTTCTCATTAAAATCTTTGTTTCTCTCTCATCTCTTTTTTCTTTTCTAACAAGTATACTTGTTAGAAAAGAGAAAATATACTTAAGCAAGCTAGAGTCCTCTCTTCCTCTCTTTTTTGCTCTCTCTTTCTCTCCCCATGTCCCAGACACACATACAAACTCAAACCCACAGACATACTCTCACTGGTATGACGAGGCCACCCACACAAGAAACTACTTTCTCTCTGCCTCCATCTCATGTCATCCCACTCTTCAGCCCTTCTAAAGTCATCCAAATTAGCGGTACAAGCAAGCAGTGTGAAGTTAGCACATGCTGGCACCACACCAATAGTAAAGTCACAGCTGGGGATACCTATGTGCAACCTGGCAGGTGTGCGCACACAGGCAAATAAAAAAATCTCAATGGAATTCTGCCCTTTCTCTGCAGAGAAAGCTGCAATGCAGACACCACTCAGATGCCACGGTAAGGACTCTCTTCTCCTGGAAGGACAAGGTGGGGACAGGAAAGACTTCCTACAAGCCTGTTATGAGCTATGAGGTGACAGCTGAGTGAGATAAGAATCAATAAAAATTGGTGGACTACTCAGATATCTTTCTTAATCTACCATTTGCAAATGGACTTTTTATTGAAACTCTGTCTTACCATATTATTACCTAATTTAATAAAGTAGCACCAAGTCCATGTAGAGAGTCTGTTAGTGAGAAACTGTAATATTAGTTGTTGTTACAAAATACCATGGCATATACTTTATGTAATTTCCTCTCACTATTCACTCCCATCAGAAACATCAATTTGTGCT